GAGAGAGAGAGAGAGAGAGAGAGAGAGAGAGAGAGAGAGAGAGATGCATTCCATGCACTGAAGGGCAATTCACCAGTTCAGGAATACACATCAGTAAAAACAGCCATGTGTAGACAAGAGCGAGGGGACAAATGAGCACCAGCAGTGTTAAGTGTGGCACATGGCATATGAAATGCTATACACTTACTCAGTCATTAATGAATGAGATGGAAGCTATGAAATGATCAGTAAACTTAATGATAATATATTTGTGTGACTGTACGTCTGCCTATTGTATGTGTGCATTCATGTGTGCATGTGTATATCTAAGCTTGTATCTGAGTGTGTGGGTCTGTGAGGATGTATTCATGAGAGTATTCATATAAGTATTCTGCAAATATGCCTGGATTGCAGGTGTGCATGTGTGTACACATGCATGTGTGCATGTGAGTGTGTGCATATGAATGTGTAAGTGTGTGTATGAGAGTGAGTGTATATTTGTGTACATTCATGTATGTATATGTCTGTGTGTTTGTGTGAGTGTGTGAATATGCATGTGTGTATGCATATGTGTACGTGTATGTTTGATTGTATGTGTATGTACATGTGTACTCATATGTGCATGCACACAGATTTTATCTCTTTCTACTGCATAGTTGATTCTGCATACATTCTACAAGGTACCAGATCCTAAGATATCTGGAGCTCTAGGTTATGTAACATATATAATGGATAAACAAATAACTAAAGGGACTACTCCTCCTGGTTCCCCTTTCTCCACACCTTCATGGTCACACATCCTTTCCTCTCAATAAAGATCTGTTCCTTCCTTAAGAACAAAAAGGGCCAGCAAGGGGATTGTGGCATACACCTCTAGTGCCAGCACTTGGGAGCAGAGTCAGGTGGATCTCTGTGAGTTCAAGTTGAGTCTGGTCTACAGCGCTTTTCCCAGGACTGCCAAGGTTGTTACACAGTTAATTCCTATTTAAAAAACTAAAAAAGAAAAACAAATAAAGGGAGGGAAGAAAAGAAAGAAAGAACCTGGCCACTAGCAAGAATTATGTGCTGTCCATCAACAACAGGGCATGGAGCGTTCGTATATGAGCTTGGAGCCCCTACAAAGCTGTATGTCCATATTACTAATTACTCTGCTAATAAATATCTTACCTCAAGGGATAATCTGTCCTAGTATTCCCTTTGAGACCCAAAGGAACACCCTTCAGAAGAGTATTGTGGATAAAAGATCTGGCATAGTGGCGGAAAACAAAATGTTTTTAGATAGGATGAGCTTCCTCTTGGGGACTGTAACTGGGAATAGGAAGCAGGGAGACAAAGTTGCACTGAAGAATGGAAATACAGATTCTCAATGAATGTTACAGAAGTAGTACAGAGGAAGAAAGGGTCAATCACACTGAAGCAAGATTCTCAGTCTGAGATGGACCTTTGAAAAAGTGCCTCATGGGAGCTTGGGGGATGTCTCTCTTGACAAAGTGCTTTGTCTACAAGCACGAGGACCTGAGTTTGCATGCCCAGTACCTTAGGAAAACAGGAATAGTGTTGCGGTCTGTATCCCCAGCCCTGGAAACCAGTCTAACAGATTCATCCATCTCCAAGTTCAGAGAGTCCGTCCATGCCCCCCAAAGCATAATGCGGAAAGTGAGCACAGTGGTCTGACTACACTAGCATGCAAATAGATGGGTATGCACACATATGTATATATATACACACACAGAAACACAAACACATGTACATAGAAATACACATTCACACACACACATACACATGCACACATGCATACACACAGAGAGACATACATGCATACAAGAATCCCACAAAATCCCTGATGCAGATGGAGAAAAAGTGACTCAACTTGTTCTTTATTTTAGCTAGGATACTGAAGTTTTTTTGGCCCTGCCCTTTGGCAAGGAGTATTTGCCAGACATTGAGAAGGCAGGAGAACCAGAGAATGGCTTTTCTTCACATTCAGCTTTTACTGAAGTAAGAGTACCATGCAAAAAACATCCACTTTGGAAGTCTTATCAAGTTTCCATCAGCTCATTAATATTCTTTTAATCTTCCACTTTCAACAGTTTAATTTAGTTGATGCTTTTAATTTACATAGAGACAACATCTTTAATGGATTTAATCCAAGCTTCTGTCATTCTAGCCATGCTACTGCTATTTATTGATTTTCATTAATATATGCAGACCTCAGATACTAGCTTTGCCAGCCCAAATGTTCCTTTTAGGGACTCTTTCATTTCATCCCAGGGTTTAACAATTATCTCCCTCTGCCTGCTACTAGAAGCCCTACCCATATTCATTAATGTATTGGTTCAGATATTAGATATTCTTATTGAGAGTTTATTGTATCCCCAGCAATGTACAGGTGGGTTTGCTGTGATAAGTTGATAATATACAAACACTGGCAAGGGAGAGAGCACCTCCTCCTACTGTGCAGTTCAGGAAGGTGGTTCTGTACTGCTGAAATGCCAGTCGACAGAACCTGAGGGGAAGAGCAGTACTCTAGGAAGACATTTCCACAGGGCGGGAGCAGCATGGAAACCATCTGCTGTCGGGCTGAACACATAGCTCCATTTGTAGAGTGCTTGCCTCGCACCCACAAGCCTGGGTAGTTCAGTCGCCAGCACCTGGTAAGCGAAGAATGGTAGAATATGCTTGTTATCTCAGCATTCTCAAGATGGAAGCAGGAGGATCTGGAGTTCAAAGACATCCTTTGCTACATAGAGAGTTGGAGGCCAGCCTGAGCTACACAAAATGCAATCAAACAACATCTCCTCCTGTTAAAGCTGTTTGTATGGTGTTTGGTGAGCCACGAAGAGGGGGCAGTACAGAATCCTATGCTCAAAGACCATTAGATTATGATGAGGGTATGGACATTACTCAGTGTTTAAGGGAGATCAATAGAGAGGTTTCTGACTGTAAAACTAACAGTTCCTATATGATTGAAGATACACAGAATGATAGTTTTATTTTGTTGAACATATATGGTCACATGTACTTAGGACACAAACCTTAGAGCCCTAGTTCCACCTACTTAGTACAATGTGTTGAAATGGTTTAATTTTAGGATGCATCAACTTATCATTACAACAGAGTATGTATCATGGAAATCTGTTTTCCTTTTTCTTCAAGAGTCAGAAGTCAGGGCAGACTTGTATCAAACAGTCTGTTGTATATAGTAGGAACAGTAGACTCAAAAACTCATAGCAGCTCTGGTTGCCAGCAGAAGACAAGGTACAGCCAGTCAATACTCCTACACATATGTGCCAATGTATCTTGAGGCCCTGTTCCCAGCCGAAGAGCTACTAGCAGTTGAAAGTTTCTTAAAAACTATGTTTTCTTAAAGGATGTGTTTTCTGGTATGATGACCATGCTCCAGTGGATGTCCCCACACTTACATGCACATGGGCAGAGCTAATTAAACCCAGTGGGTGATAGAAAGAGAGGGAGGAGAAAACAGAAAGAGAGAAGGACATGACCTTATAATAGGGACATTGACATGGGGGCCAAGGAGGAATTGGTAGGTGGAAATGAAGGACTAGCATGATCAAAATACATTGTATACATATATGGAATTGGCAAAGAATAAATAAAAATATATATATTTAGGGGCTGGCGAGATGGTTCAGTGATTAAAAACAGATACTATTCTTGAAAAAGACTTGAGTTCCATTCCCAGAACCTGTGGGGGTAACTGTAGGTGTCATACAGAGAAGCAAATGCCTACAAGGGATGAGAATAAAAACCCAGTACAGATTGACTTCATCAACCTGTATCAGACTTCTGGAAGTCTAATGCCAGGAGGTTCATTGTCAATATATTTAAAACATAGTACAATTTGGGGAAAGGTCTTGAGGCAACAATCAGTCCAATCAGTCCAATCCCAGATATACAATAAAAGCTTAAGGTGGGACTACAAAGAGACGATTCTACAAAGTACATGTGACCACGAGAGTGGGTTCTATAGCTTAAAAATCTAGAATCTAATGTGGTCTCTGACAGATAGCATAGAGGTCAGCAGGCCATGATGTATTTGTGACACTTACCCTAAAGATGGGTAATGGTAGAAGAATGGAAGAGTCTGGGATAATCATTCTGGGAACTTAGGGTGAGGTCTGTCCATTCAGAGAGCAAATAGGTCACCAGGTTATTAAGGACCTCTGCTTTCAGCTTTCTGGATGGAATGCAGGTATTTTATTTGTATCTCCTCAATTGAGGAGACATCCCTGTGTGATTAACATTCTTGGTATTCTTAGTGCTTCTCTATGAGCACAAGGACCTCTATGTCCCCAACAGGAACCCATTTTTTATGGAACACTAGTACCTGTAACTCCAGCTATAGGGGCACCTGATCTCTCTAGCCTCCATGGGCACTTCTACTCACATACACATGACCATGCAGAGATGTGCAGACACATAATTAAAAATAGTAAAATAATCATTTTAAAACATACTAATGTCTAATTTCCTTCCCTTAGCATAACACTGTGAGCATGAATTCTCTATCAACAGTTCATTTTTATACTACTGAAAATATTACATTGAATCAGTCCATCACAATTCCACTTACAGGAAAGGAACATTTAACTTACTTCCCACCTTAATAGTTTCTTGAATTCCATTTGGCTCTTTTAAATAAAGGAGTAACCGTATCTATAAATACATCTCTATAGAAATAGGTGTTTTAATTGCAACTTGGTAATACCTTAAAATAGCACTTCTCATTCTATTAAAAATATTTTTCATTACATTTCCTTTATTTTGTATGTGTATCTGTGTGTAAGTACACATGTGCCACACTGGACATGTGGAAGTCAGATGACAACCAATGTGAGTGGGTTTTCTCTTTCCACCATGTGGGCCCCCAGTATTGAAGTAAGGTCAGCAGCAAGCCTGAAAAACAAACACCTTCATCTTCTGAATCATCTCACTGGCCCAATAGGATTGCAAATTTTTAATATGGCCACTATTTAAGTTTATGACATCACTAGCCCTGGAAAACAGGCTATGTTTGTAGCACCAGGTATGGTTCCCATCCTGCTAAGTGGGTCTTAAGTCCAATTAGGCAGCTTTTAGTTGCCACTAACATATGATTACACTTTTATACATATCTTTCCATGCTGGTAATGTTCATGGTTCATAGGTGTTGCAGATGCACCAGACTATGAACCATGAAAATTACCAGCAACATATTTTCTGGAACCATGGAAGCTAGGAAATAGACAAAAGCAAAATATTTTAGAGTACATTTAACTCTTCTCTATGGGAGCACTGAAGCTTTGCCCCTGAGTACAATCTCAGGTATCTCTTTCATATGTTATTCTTCTTTTTATTCCTTTGGAATCATATATATGGACACTTTGCAATGAGCAGTATTGAGAAGCTCTTTCCTTGAATTTCCTTAGAGTAACTTTACAGCACAAGGTCTCAGGTATAAGTCTTCAATTGCTTTTGCATTGGGTTTTATATATAAGGGGAAGTAAAAGTCCAATTTTAAACTTTTGCCTCTGGATATTCATTTTTCCAAACACCATCTATTGAAGAAATGATTCTTCCTCCTTATTTGCTCTTGGAAGCTTTGTTAAATATCAGTTGAGTGTGGGTGGACTTATTTCTGAGTTTGTCCTGTTCACCAGCTTCTGTTTGTCTTTGGACTAACACCACAGTATTTGACTACCAATAACTAGATATACCAGGCTTCGTATTTTTACTCAAGATTTTTTGCCAGCTATGTTTTATTTTTGTTTCTTTGTGGTTATAATACTATTATTTAATTCCACAAATTATAAATTTGGAGTTTTGCAATGAGTGTAAAGAATTGGTAAGTTGCACATATTGTGGATAATTCAATATCAACTGTTCTTATCCAGAAGCTCTGCTGCCTGACTTTTTATTCCTCAGTTCCTCACCATTGTTTCATAGTTTGTTTTTAGACTGAGATTTCATTTTCTTACACTTATTCTTTTTTTTTTTTATACTCGCAACAATGGTCATGTTAACAATACAGAACATCCAAGATCCGATCCAAACTGCTCAGCAATGTAACAAGTGGGCACTGCCCAGAGAATCACATCTAGAGGCCATGCTACCTACTTAGCATGGAAGGACGAGTCTTGGCTGGCTGGGTACCCTGGGGTTCCATATGGCCTCAGCTTCCTGGCGATGGCATCTACGTTCATCTCCTGGGAGATCTGCACTGTCAGTTCATCCTGGCTGAGGCCAGAGTAAACTTATTCTTAAACTTTGTATCATTGTATCATGTGACCCTATTTTAAAGGAACATTTTCTTCTTTTTTTCAGTAGCTCTTTGTGTGTGTGTGTTATAGATTTTATATGTAAAAAAAATGAATGAAAATAATAAATGTTTCTCCTTATAAAAAAATTGTCATACTTCTACCTAGATTCGGAAGAAAAGATAGAAGAGTCAAATGTGTAATTATAAATAAAAGAAACAACTGATATGGAAGAACTAAGAGAGACTTTGATAGTGCAATGAATACAACAAATTGAATGCTCTGAAAGAAATGGGTGAATTCCTACATGGAAACTTCAAGATTCAGTCAATCCTAGGCCAATTAAAAACACATTGTCTCAAAACACACACAAACTAGTAGGTAAAAGTTGCATACTGCCTTAACAGGAAAAAAAAAAAGAGAGAAAGAGAGAGTCACATGATTAGCTCCATTGACCCAGAAAAAAACATGTACCAGATTCCAGCAGCCTTTCATAGCTGAAGCTTTTCAGCACGGTGGTCATGTGAGACACCCGACATTGACAAGTCAAATGTGGAGAGTGGAAGCTGGTTGCACACTAGGAAAAGCACCAACATTGCTTCCAAAGCTGGGAGAGAGGTAAGGGTGCCCTATTTGGAGAACAAAACAAGGATTACCATTAAATACTCTAAATGGAAAATTGAGTAAGACAAAAAAACAAAACACATTTAAATAGGGAAATAAATAACAATTGTTTCAGTTTGCAAATAACATTTTATGCATAGAAAACCCACAAACCTCCAGCAAATTCTAGTTAATCTAGTTAATCACCAATGGACTTGTAGAGTACTCAATCTCTTTTTAAGAAGCTTCTTAGCAAATCAGTAAAATTCCATTATACAATTTTAAAAATAATTAACTAAGAATATCATAATTATAATTAAAGTAGAAATCAGTACAGAAGGGTTAGCAGACTCTAGTATATAAAAAATGATTAACTACTACAATGATTACATTTCTTTCCAATAATACATTACATTGGAGTATGAGTTCAGATGTGTGTTAGGTTAAAAACATAACTATATGAATATTTTAAGTCCTTATACATATATAAATAAAAGAAATTATAAATATGTACAAGCTTTGCTATATTGTATATAGGGTATAACATATATGTATGTGTGTGTATATATTTACATCAATGTATATACAACATACACATACATATAAGACATGATAGATAGATAGATGATAGATAGATATGATATGATATGATATGATATGATATGATATGATATGATATGATATGATATGATATAACCTGGAAAAGATAGTCATGAGGATCTAGGTGACCCCAGTGTAAACTATCACATCTGTCTTTAGCCCCTGAGTCATGGGCATGAATGGCCCAGGATGCAATATTCTAATAACATTTGAGGTAAGATATAAAAACAGGAAAAATTATGGGAACTTGGAAAGAAGTCTTTCATCTTGCAGTCTGGTTAAAGTTCATTGCCAGGCATGAATGCAGAAGTTGAGGGCCATTAACATCTGCTTAAAATCTTTCTCTATTCCCAGCTGCAAACCTTATTTTCTAGGAGGCTCATTAAATTAGCCCCTTGTGCCAATCTAGTGGTTCTTTTCATACTTTGTCAGATTATAATCCCACTGAAAATACCTTCAGAACCCACCCTGTAATCTTACTTATCAAGAACAAAGAGAAAAAGAAAAAAAAATTATTATTAACCCATTGAAATGTAACTTGAAAGCCACCCATATGATATGTCTACAGCTAACACACACAATTAGAACTCTTTTTTGAGGACTGCATTTGGATATGACTTATTTTTCCCAAGGATCTTTCTCTTTAGCCTTGTTCTATGTTTAAACTGTCTTCTAGTAGCCATGATTCAACTTTAGAAGCCTACATCTATGCTCTTGAGTCTTACAAAGAGGAAGTAGCTTAGACACTGACACTTTTACACAGGCAATTTAAACTTTAGGGAGTGGTAAAGCTGGTGTTTACTTTCCTAGAGGGGTGGGGTCCAAAGACTGGATGACCTCTTAACCTCTTGACCTCTTAACCTCTGTCCCTCACCATACACACAGCTCACTCTATAGTGTGACTTTTCTCAGAGTAAATAGCTGTGGTATTTGCACACCTGGGCTTGAATGGCAGTGTTATTAACAGAGCTTTGTGTCCCTCTCCTTCTTCTGGCCACACTTAGCTGTCAAGTTCCACTAATGATCACTGATGGCTTCAACATACAAACAGTACCTGTGGCTTAAATCCTAACCACAAGTTTTGAGGGGCGAGTTGTTTATATCATCTTTTATTCTTGTTATCATCCTAAGAGCACTTTTCATGCTTCCCTTGGGTAAACTAGGTAAGTTTGTGGTTTAACTTGCTTCCTGTCAAAAATCACCATTTTTTTATAGTGCCTTGGGCCTGAAATGCCTCTCATTATGGTTTCAATAAGGTTGGCTCCTTAAGGAAGAACATTTTTGCTCTTTCTTTACATTCTGTTTTTCTCTCAGAAAATATCCCAGCAACAGTTCTTCACCTCAGGCTCTAAGGGGACAGTGGTGTGCTTCTTTCTTGATTTATTCTCCTGCTTGAGAGGAGCGGTAGCCTCTGGCCTTTGCTAGGACAAAATAACCTTCCCTTAATGAGCCTCGGAAAAGTCCTGCTGTGGCTAGAGAAGAGACACCAAATTAACATATTTAAAAAGAATGAAAATGTGGAAGAAAAGAACTAGGAACACTATTTCTTCAGCTACGTGCCAGGGACAGAGCACACGGATTACCCATAGACAGTCTAAAGATGGGTGTTTCTAGACTTTGCAACCTCGGCCCATCCCAGCTCTTCAGCCCACTACCATTCTGTGTAGTGCCTTTTCTTTTTCAATATTTTTTTCTGTTTCTATCACTATCAATGTATACCTAGTCCAGTTATTTTTTCTGGAATCAAGAACATGGAGTTCTCAATAGCTGCCCTCTAGACTATGATCCACACCTGTAACACTGCCAGCTCCATTCTTTTTCCTTTTGTCTGATAATGTGGCTGAGCAAGATCCCAGGATGTGGTTTCTGCCTCCAAAAACTCATTCTCAATTGCTTTACCTACCAACTTCTCCAGCTCTTAACTACCTAACAGTAACACAGGGAAGCACTAAGGACATTGGGTGTTGTCAGTGTCAAAGCCAGCCTGGGTTTCTTAAGGAGATCCTGTCGCAAATACATGCATATTAATATACTCATGAATAAATTGTAGAAATGCCAAGGGTCAACTGAGCAGCAAAGAAGAATTTTATTCTCAAACAACAAATAGAAATAGAAAAATTAAAACCAGGCTTTTTACTTATTAAGGGTTGGGAGATTATAATAGAGCAGAATAAATAAAGGGTGGGATAGGGTCATAAAAGTGGGAATTTTTATGTTTTTACTAGAAATAGGCACAGGTTTCAGGAACTCAGCCTCCTTTATGGTACTTTCAGTTCCCATCATGGCAACTCTTGCTTGTCACAGCACTGGGGGCCGTCATTTAGCATGCAAATGAGATTATACTGAAGTCATGCTGACAACCATCTTGGGATTGTTTCTTGAAGCCTTCCGTATTTTATTATCATGGGCTTTTCAGAAGTTAAGAGCAGTTTATCTTCTGAAAAGTAGCACATTCAGTCTCACAAAAGTGATTTTAGCATTAGATCTGCAAAGGAATACAGCTCAGATCCACTGTCCATCAGCTGAGTGAGCCCCTCCCTCCTTAGGGGAATCACCCTATAGCTCAGGATAATTGACCTTGAACTCAATGAACTGTTTGACAGATTAAATGAGTTGAGAACATCTTCAACAAATGAAAAGCACTAGTAAAATATAACTACTGTTTATGTTGCTAATGTTTTATTTCTTTATTTATGTAATCATGGGATTTCTAAAAATATGTTCTAGAAAATCCCAAACATACACATATTTTCAAATTTCCCCAGTTTATCTTTACTTCTAAAATTAACCAGCTACAGCAAGGCTAGAGCTTAAATGCTTGGTTGAGTAGAAATCTCCACTACCATTTAGGAGAATCCACTACCTCTTTAGGTGGCCTCCCTAGAATATCAGGGATCAGTGGACAAATGCCTCTGTTCTTGGACAGATTGTACCACATTCTCCACATACTACTGACCTGGCCTATATTTTCAATTTCTCTCATCTCAAAAAGAATAGGAGATGTTTATTCTCATGTTAAATATGAGTAATCATGACATAGGAACACAGATTTAGGTTAGGCCAAAAGACCGTGTTTCCGTGAGGTAACAGCTATATAAAGTTTTTATAGTAACAGAACAAGAAGTCATAAAGAAAACTGTTTTTTTTTTAAAAAAACATTGGTGGGAAGGAACATCTGGTTAGAGCAAAGTGTGGAAGATGCTGCTACATGCTGCAGATGGTCTGTGATGACTTTCTCAGCCTCTGCATTGGCAGAAGGTGGGGTTCTGTACATTCCATAAGGACTTTTCTAACAGTAGTGAGACTAGATGTTAGGTCACATGTGGTGTGTGTGTGTGTGTGTGTGTGTGTGTGTGTGTGTGTGTGTGTGTGTGTGTGTAAGCATTTGTATACATTGCGGTGCTGAGTGAATGACAATTGAAAGGGCTAATGATAGTCCAAGACAGTATGACTCCCAATCCTTAGTGTCTCAGCTCCCACTATTGCAGAGGTTTTCATCATTCAGTCTTGTGAAATCTTTGCACAGGAATCTTCTTTATGGATCTTCATTTCACACTTTCTGGGTTTCTTAACTACTTTCTGCTCCATGATGGCCCCACCAGCAGTATCACCTGTTGAGCTTGGTTCAGAGAAGTTTAGAATTTCTCTAGTCTGCAGGTGCAAATGTCTCCTAAACTTTTCTTGAAAACTAATCAAAATTATCTGTCCACATTTTTTAAATGCATCCATAAGCAACTCACCAACCTTAGATGGTAGTTTGTCTAATGCTAGCTTTCCACCACTACGAAAAATACTCAAGATATTTAACTAACAGAATAAAGAGGTTTATGTTTGCAATGTTTATCCACTGCAGTTTATGTATTATTTTTATTGTGACTTTCATAAAACATATGACAAAAGCAACTTAAGGAAGAAAGTATTTATTTTGGCTCATAGTGCAAAGGTATACTGCCTCAGGCAGAGAAGGCATGGGTGGCTACCATGATGTGAGGCCCCTGGTCACATTAGTCCGTGGTCAGTAATTGGAGAGACACCAAAGCTGCTGCTCAGCTTGCTTTACCCTTTATACTCAGTCTAAGACCTCAGCACAGGAAATGGTGTTGCCCACCTCAATTGACCCAATCTAGATATTCCCTCGCAGACATAGCCAGAGATGATTCTAGACCTGGTCACACTGACTGCATTAATGCCATACTCTGTATCCTCTAATTTTCTTTTCCTTTCTTCTTCCTTTTTTGTTTTTACTATTGTCCATGCTTTTGCTCTTCTGCCCATGCTCTTTGGAATGTTATTTTATCTATGCATAATTGAAATCTGCTATCCAGGGTGGCCATGTGCCCACCTTCTCTCCTTATAAATCTATCAATTCCCCCTGTTAGGCCTTACCATTTCTTCACCTGTCTTCTGGACCTATTCCATCTGGAATCCATCAGCCATCAGTCTGCATGCTTTCACACTGTTCAATGTACTCCTCATCTATTATTCATGAACTTGCCTTTCATCTGCATTTGCTTATTATGTTTATGGTGTGCGAGTACTGCTTTGTAGAACTCATGTTTGATCTCTTCACTCAGGACTTGTCCATCAAATGTGCTGCCTGTCACCACCCATTAGGCCTCTGTGTTTATGCTAAGCAACATCCATATAGAACATAAAAGTGAGCTGCAAAGTTGTACCAGACAAACTAATTGTAAGTGGACTAAGGACACACACACACACACACACACACACACACACACACACACACACACACACACACACAAACACATATATATTAAAGAAGAAAAGTGACCTTCAGGCTTTCTGTTAGTGGCAATAGAAGCTGTACAACTTTCAGGATTTTCTCTTATCCTCTATGAAGAATGGTCATGTATTATCTATAACTCCTTCAAATTAATAGGAAAGTTCTTTGGTATATGTGTACATATGTGTACATATATGTATGCAAGTCTGCATGCATATGTGTATGCATTCATGTGAGGGACATGGGGCAACTTCAGGTATCATTCCTTAAGAAGCCATCTACAATGATTTATGAGATGGTCTCTTACTGTCCTGGAATTTGATAATCTGGTTAGGCTGGCTGACCAGCAAACCCCAAAGATCCTCCTGTGTCTGCCTGTCTACAAGTAGTATTACAAGCTCTTGTCACCATGCCTGACTATTTTTGTTTGGTTTGTTTGTTTGCTTGCTTGTTTTGTATAGAGTGTGTGGATTATATATATCTCCCTACGCTTGCATGACAAGAACTTTACCCACTAAGCATCTCTCAGGCCCCAAGAAGTTTTCTTCATCTGAACTGGGTCTTATCTTTAGTCTGATCTTGCTGTTCTACAGGACCAAGTTTTTTATATATAAACCAGTGAAACCACTTTAACTATATAATTTTAAAATTATATTAATATAATTGTGTTGTACACCAATAGAAACAAACAAACAACAACAAAAACCACAAACCTGGACGGGCTTGTCAAGAAGACAATGTTTCAGGACTCATTGCTCCCCACCAGCTCCCTTGTTGGAATTATATTCATCAGCAAAAGGGAAGGTGAAACACCAAATTGTCCAAGAGACGTGTGCTAGTTAGTTCTCTGTTGCTGTCATAAAATACCATGACCAGAGGCAACGGGGAAAAGGGTTTACTTAGTTTTTGGTTCTGGGGGGATAAAGGAAAAGTGACGGGGAGGGCATGGACAAAGACAGCAAGAGCAGAAAGGTTCCTTTCAGTAAAATGAACAAAAATAGTAACAATAATACAGGGATTAAAAGACCATGTTCATCTATTTACTGTTGAATTAGCATTCAATTTGCTAAGTGGATGTGGACATTTTCAGTGCTCTAGGACTGCTTCTCTCTGTAGCAGATTTTCACGAGTACAGTGTACTTAGTGTTTTTATGTCAATTTTCACTTTAGCTCTTAGTTTCCATTTTTTAATCTATTTACTCCTTAGGTGGTACTTACAGCCTGCAATTTCATTTATAACACCCACCCTATGATTGTGAACTTTGTCCTGTCCATTTTTTGTTTATTATTACTAACACTCTGCAGTTTACGAACACTTGTTCAGATCCTTGACAGTCACAACATCCTTGTGAATTAGTTAAACATGGCTCAGTTTAACATCATTTCACAATTGAACAAACTGAAGCACTATCATAGTTACTCTTCTATTTCTGTGATCAAATACCCTAACTAACACAATTTACTCAAAAACGAAGAGTTCAGTTAGTGCTTCCAGTTTCAGAGGGCTACAGTCTATGACCACTGTGGTAGAAAGCATGGCTGCAGACAGGAATGTTTGACACTAAAGACAGCTCACATCTTAAGACACAAACACAAGGCAGAGAGGGCTAACTGGGAATGGCATAGGCTTTTGAAATCTCTAAGTTTGCCTGCAGTCACACATACCTCCTAATCCTTTCAAAACACTTCAACCAACTGGAGACAAATTATCCAATATATAAGCTTATGGGGGCCACTCTCATTCAAAGCACTATTAGTACTCTAGGTTGTAACGGTATGACCAAGAAGGTAAAGTAGATGACATAGAAATAGATGGCAAGAGTCAAAGCTCAACCTCTAACCAGTATTTCTTTTTGTTTTTGTTTGTTTGTTTGTTTGTTTGTTTGTTTTGCATGCCATACCTCTGTCCTGTAGTGATTTCCTGAGCTGATAACATTCTAGCTTCCAGGGAAGCTCTTCCAAATGCAGGATGTTCTAAAGGTGGGCTCCTTAAAATTTCAGAACTAAACAACTCAAACCTGAAGTCCTTGAAGCTGACCAGATATACTAGGTTCCTCCTTTCCCAAGCTTATGTAAGTAATAAGGACTGCTGAGGGACTCCAATCTGCTGAGCTATCAAGAAGTTTCTCAGACTGGAGCACCTGCCTTGGAGAGGCTCAGACCACCTGGGCTGCCTAGAAGACACACTGTCTAACCCGATGAGCTGTCTGGATGTCTAGAAGTAGACTTCAGGTTTCCAGCTTTCATGAGCTGTCATCCATGCTGAGGTGGGTTTTGGTGATACAGCTGTTTTTGAGCCATTTTTTGCTCCTATAAGTAGCCCAAATTAAACAACCTGGTTTATCATGTTGGACTTTGGTGGTATCCTGGATGCCCTATTAGAGGTGAGTAGACATTTGTCCATGTCTCCCCAGGAATAGAGTCAAGTCACACAACACCTGTTAATGCCTTTGCATTCCTCACCCACCGTAACAGCCAGGCCTTATTTCTCCCGGAAACCTTTCATACTTTCTCTGCCAATCTATTCTGAGCATGCAAATCAATCAGCCAGACTGGCTTCTGTGCTGATGCCTTTTTTTCCTTTCTATGCAGCACATGCAGAAAGGAAACTAGACAGATTTATTTGTACAATTCCTTAGCTGTCTAAGAGAAATTAAATCTAACACCCAGCAGGTCTTCTGGTAAGGGGTTTTATTTTCCTCTCTCTGCTGCCAAAATTGGCTGCCTTTTTCTTTTTTTTCCCTCCACTAAGTTAGAATACTGAACATCCAAATCAAAAAATGGAAAGTCCACCCAAATGTGAGCAACAATTTTCTCTAATAAACAAAAATTTAGAGGCTGTGGTGGTGTCTCAGGGACTCAGGGTACTTACTATGCAAGCATGAAGACCTAATTTCATTCTCCAGCATCAACAAAAATAAGTCAGGCATGGTCACACATGCCTGCCATCTCCTCACCATGGGACATGGATACAAGAGAACTGCTGAGGCTTGCTCACTGGCATTCTCATTGAAGCAGCAAATTCCAGGCTCAGTGAGAGACCCTCACTCAGTGAGGTGGAGAGTGACAGAGGAGTCCTCCTGATGCTCTTCACTTCCCTAGACACATGCATGCATTAATATAACTGCATATACCTGTGCACATTTGCCACTCACACTCAGGTATGAATGCAAGAGAGAGATCGAAGAATAAATGAATAAAATAAATAAACAATACCTTACAATCATACCTTGAGTCCTTAGGGATTTCAAGTACTTGGACTCAGAAACAGGTTAGATGAAACTGTCCTGCTGCAAACACTGAAGCTTACTTTTTTTATTCATTACTGTTTGTGATAGATGTATGACAATAATAAGGCTGATTGAGGGGAATGTCATCACTTCCCTAGACAACCTCCCTTGGGATGACACACATATCTGTTGCTGGACAGTCCACCAAGGATGGCTACTGGATGAATGGCCCTGGGTGTCATGGGTATCCCTTGCCAGGTGGTAGCCCCTAGTCTGTGAAATACTGAGCAAACAATACAGAGAACAGGATTGCTTTGTCTTGTAACACCTTTGCCATTTTAGGTTTCATTACCAGAGGAGATGGAGAAGACCTCAGTGACCACCTTATAGAACTGTCAGACCATGAGCACTTTTCACCTTATTCCGTGAGACTGTCTCTCACTGGCCAGAAACTTAGAAGTATGCTGGGCTGGCTGTCCAGTGATCCCCAAGGATCTATCTGACTCTCAATCTCCCCAGTGCTGGGATTACAAGTATGCATTGGCCCACTCTGCATGATGTCATTGTTTCTATAGATTCATCTTGATGTGTTTATTTAATTATTCTTTATCAATAAAAAATCAGGAGTCATATATTGGGGTAGGAACCTGAATGATCAGAGAAGTGACAGAAAAGTGACAAGTGACCTCCCATCCCTCTGTTCCTCCATCTCAATGGGCTGAAATCCTTTCTAAGACTTGCCTTACTACTTCTTGTCTCTCTATCTGTCCTCAGTTCTCCAAAACCTCTATGGCTAATTTTGGTCAGCTAGTAGCTATCTCTGCCATGTGATTCAAAGTAAACTTTATTGTCAGAATGTGATCAAAATATCACACAACAATTCCTCCTTTTGTCTAAATAAAAAAGAAGGTTTTAATTCTAAGATAGTAAAGCTATATACAATAAGAACAATTACCAGGTAAGAATTACATTCACAATGTCCAATACATTTGCATTTTGGTAAATTCAGAGAAAATACCCCATTATCCATCCTATATTGGTGAGTCCAAAGTTTTGTACCTAATTCACTTTCTATCCTAACTTGTTTTACCAACTCAAAACTGTCCTTTTATGTCTCAACCTTATACACTACTTTCCACCTCTTTGGTGAGTTTCTTTTCTGAATTTGGTTACCAGGAAAAGCTATTATTATAACTTTCCCATATTGAACTCCATCAGACACCTGAGAAGTATATAATATTACCTGAGTAAACAGGAAGTGCAGAGAAAACAACTTCCAAAACTATAAAAATGACAGTAATAGCTGGCTGCCTGGCTAGTCACCCAAGGTTCTTCTATAATATTTTGACATCCATATTCAACCTACAGGCCTAGAATACCTGACAGACTTTTCTGTGAAGCGGGAATTTTGAAGGAATGTCCAGCCTTGTCTGAGAAAGTTTTGGCAGTTGCTTTCTTTTGTATCCTCTTGTCCAATTTGGACATCATACTGTCAGCAGTCGAGGCAAGGGCAGTTTCTTGCCAAGAGACTAAGTTTTGCCACAAAAAAAGCAAATTCTCTGATACCCATCATGTTCTCTGAAGTAGATAGATGCTGCCAGGAGCAAATGTATCTCATTGTTATGAAAAGCCTTATGTTATTAAAACATCTTAAATGTCATATTCTGTAGATCTCTGAAGTGTTTGAAGACCACTATCTGTCCATCTAAAATATATCTCTTTTTGGCCTTGAAAACATACCTAACATGATTACAAGTTTGTAGTAGGTGGCTAACTACTAACCTGTACTTCTTTATTATTCTAAATAGTTTGTAATAATAATGTTCAAGGACTAGAAATTTATAATACTTTGTTAAATGAGCTGCATAGGTACAATAACTTAAACAAGAGTAGAAGCATATGCACAGTATGATATAACAAAAATAACCTTAAATTTGAATCAATACACAGAAATACTTAAAAGAAGAGTAGAGACATATATATATATATATATAGTATAACATATAGTATAACTATATATATATATATAGTATAACAAAAGTAACCTCAAGTTTGTATCAATATAGAAAACTCCATACCAATGTAAAATGTTTAAGACTGGTATTTGCTTTCTTAGTTTAAAAGTAGAGTCAAGAAATGGTGTGCAGAGATAGGGGGATCATTTCCTGCTTCCCCTCCACTTAGTGCTGGGTTTATAGACATTTACAGCTTTACATTGGTCCTGAGGAGCTGAATTCAGGTGGCTCCTTATTCTTACAGAATGTGGTGGTTGAATAATAATGGCCTTGTAGGCTCATATATTGAATGTTCTGCTACCAGAGAATGGAACTCTGATAGGATTAGAAGAATTAGGAGGTGCGCTCTTGTTGGAAGAGGTGTGTCACTGGGGGTAGGTTTTGAGGTTTCAAAAGCTCAAACCTGATCCAGACTGTCTTCCTACTTTCTGGGGTCAGAATGTAGAATTCTCACCTACTTCTCCAGGACCATGCCTGTCTGCATGCCATCCTCGCCATGATGATAATGGGTTAGCCTCTGAAACTGTAAGCATGTCCTCGATTAAATGTTTTCTTTCGTAAGAAAAAAAAAGTTTAGTCAATAATCTATTCTTTTATCCCATCATTTCTATATCCCCCTTTTTCTTTTCAGAATGAGATCTCTAAATCTAATCTCCATTGTTCAGCTTTTTTTTCCTGACCATTACCAATAATAACTTTCAACCAACCCCCAAAAATGAGGACAAATATCCACAACTCGTTGAATAACCAAAAAAAAAAAAAAAAAAAAAAAAACCCAAGCTACCCCTTGAGAATATGGGCATTATGCTCTATTGATTCCTTCCTGTTGTCTGGGGATTGACATTTATCCCCAGGGGATCCTGAGAAAATTGGGATAATGGTCAAGTCCTGGGAGAGACAGCTGTAGCATTTGTTGCCAGTTTCTGTGTAATGGGAGAGTTGTAGAGCTTATCTGAAATCCTGGCTGTAGTAGAGCATGAAGCTGGACAGTCTCATCTAGTCAGCTTGAAATTGTCCTGAGCAGTTTGTAGTCCAAAGCTCATCTATGAGTAGTGTTTGTCACCTTAGTGACATTACCATACTCTAAGTGGAATCATTGTTGTGGGACCGTATCATCCTTTTGCAAATATCAGAGGTTACTGTTGGGAATGGGAATGGTTCAGTGCAAAAAATTTAGACATGCTAAATGTCATATGCACCAGATGTTGGAGAGGTTAATGGATCACAATTTGTTAAGTACATCTGGAGTACATAAACTTAATTCCTAGTTAACTGATTCAGACTCAACCTCCAAACCATGTATAGAAAGCTACATTAAACATTTTCCTCAAATTAGTACTCTACATCATCATTAAAATCATGACAGAAAGATTAAATATATATATATTAATCTTATAAATTTTGAGATAATATGTATACTTTAAGACAATATTTAAAGCATCAAAATAAAACTAAAGATTATGAGATTAGTGGAAATACAATAGTCCATTAATTTTGTTTTTTCTTCTGTCATACCAGGTGACTCTCCTGACATGAGACAGAGATTTTTGGATTTTTCTTTAACAAGCATGCTTGGGTTTAGAGAAGGAGAAAACCACACTCCAACTCCAAAGCCAGCTTTAATTCTTAATTGAACTGGGACTACAAAAAGACCATTGCCTTATATATCTGTAGCAAATAGCAGAAACAAAAATGTGATATTTATGAAATTTTATCCTGTTGGAAATGTGATATATCAAAAGGCCAATTTACTCTTTTTCTTGTGACATTTTATCTGGTTGATTCCTTCTTTTTTTTTTCTTTAGATGTCTCATTTGTTTAGTGGTCTTAGTTGGATACTTTCATTCTCCTGGAAAACAAAACAAAACAAAAATCAAAAACAAAAACAAAATAAAAAAAAAAACTCTGCCCCAACTATAACTTTGGGGTGTTTCCATTCTGCCAGGTTATATCTGATCAAATGAAAAGCACTGGTTAGTCTTATAAGTTAGTTTAGATTGAATAGCCACACTGATTGATGAACTATCTTCTCTTTTAATCAAGAGGTCTCTACTGTTTGAATCTAATCTTTATCAGTTTTAATGGTATCCATAGCTTTTCTTCTCCTGTAGAAACAAAAGCAAAACCTCTTCCCCAATGTAATACATATTCTCATTTCCATTCTGATGTCAACACATCTTTACAGTATACAGGATGATTTAATTCAGCAGTTTTTTCTATTATCCAATGTCTCTCCACAGCTGTCATTCCTTTCTCATTAGCATTTAAAAAATTAAACTTAATAAAAATTGTGCAATCAATTTCTGGGGGTCTTTATTATCCCTTTCTGTTTATTAAGCATATCTTTTGAGGCGAGATTAGATTTTTTAACTACTTGCCTTGTAGGTTTTGTGGTATACCTATAATATGCTTTATGTTGTAATATGCAAAAAATGTTCCATTTTACTAGAGACATATGCTGGAGCATTGTCAATCTTAATTTGTACAAGTATTCCCATGATGGCCCTAACTTCTCATACACATGTAATTATAGATCAGCCTTTTCAGAACTCAGAGCAGTTGCTCATTAAAGTCCTAAATATGTATCTATGGTATGGTGTACATATTTTAATTTCTCAAACTCTGCAAAATGAAATACATCCATTTGCCAGATTTCATTTGTTGAGTACCCTTTGGGTTAGTTACTGTAGGTAGTAGAGTTTGATAATATAAAGAACAAGTAGGACATTTCCTTATTATTTCCTTGGCTTGTTACCAAGTGATAGAAAAATATTTTTTCAAACCCTTGCTATTTACATGGTGTTTTTTATGAAATTCTGAGGCTCCTAGCACATTTACTACTAAGAGTTTATTAATTTCATTATTCCCTTGAGCTAGAGGATCTGGTAAACCCATATATGATCTGATATGTATTATATACAAGGAATGATTTCTATTTCTCATCATTTCTTGTAATCAAATAAATAACAAAGTTGATTCTGAATCACCTGGAATAAGTTCAGCAGATTCAAAACCTAAAACAACTCTTTCTGCATATTGAGAACCATGAACTGTATTAAGAGTTTCCAGAAAATTTAATAATATCATGAGAATAACATATAACTCTGACTTTTGAACAGAATCATAAAGGATTTGGGCCACTTTACTTAAATTTCCTGACTTATACCTGCCTTTCCTGATTTGTTTGCATCAGTATAGAATGTAGGGGCTCCAGAAATTGGTGTTATCCATACAATGTGAGAATAATCCAAACAGTTCTCTTTATAAACTGAAGTCTCTTGCTTTTGGGATATTTGTTGCTAATCTCTCCCAAAAATTCTCTGCAAGCTTTTTGACAATGTTCATTTTTTGTCCATAATGAGAAAATTTCATCATTAGTAAATGGCACCATCAATCCAGAAACCTATTCTACATAAGTCTTTAATGTTTTACTCCAGCTGTATGGTAAAAATATCCATTTTAAGATAGTATCCTTTCTCTTCATTATAATTCCTGTAGAAGAATGTATAGAAGGTAAAATAACCAGAATACATTCAAGCTATGGATCCAAATGATCCACGTGTGCATCCAGTAACTTCTTTTCTACCAAAGCCAATTCTCCCTTAGCCTCAGCTGAAAATTTTCTTGACTATTTAAGTCCTTATCACCTTGTAATATTTGCAATGAATTATGTAGTTCTTGAGTAGTCAATATAAGTGTGGGACATAGTCAGTTAATATGTCCTAGCAATATTTGGAAATTATTAAGAATTCATAATTGTTCTCTCCTGTTCTTGTAAAGGTATAGTAAAAAAAAAAGCAGTTTTTTAAATCAATCATTTTAATAGACCATATTTTAAATAAGAGAATAGGCAAGGGAATCCAAGGCTGTAAAGAGCTCATTGGCTGAAGCACCTTATTAATAGCACTGAGATCTGTTAGTAGTCTCCAATTTATGTTTTATTTCTGAGATTGGAGCAATATTAATGTGAGTATTCCACTACTATAACAAATCATGCCCCATTAATCTATTGCTATGTTCACCACATATGGCTTTAATTTTCCACTATGTTCTTCTGATTCTATACATTCAATCCTTCTTGTGCTTTGTTTTACCTGAGATAAAGTTCCAATCCTTAGAAGCTGAATATTTACCTCTTGAAATAGCCAATTTGGATGCCAAGGTTTGGGTGCCATTAATGTTATATCTGCTCCTGTGTCTACCAAACCCTCAATTTAAATGGCATTTATTTGTATTTTTAACTTTGGTCTTTGATCATCTATAGAAATTTGCCAAAATATTTGGTTCATGTTTCTCCTAAAAAGTAAAACTTTTCTGTCACCCAGTGCAGTATAGTTTTTCCACAACAGGTATTAAGTCTTTTAATTGCTCTGTGGAGGAGTTTTCCCAATGCTGACAGGGAATGATTGATTAAATTTGACATGGGAGCCTGTGAGAGGCCCCTTAATGCATTCCCCAATGGCAAAGGATTACCTTGCCTGCCCCATGTTGATCTACATTCATTAGTCTAGTGCTGACCTTTGCCACAATTTCTGCATAATCCAGAAGGCTGGGGCCTTCTGTTTGGATTATCTCTTGAAAAAATATTGTTCCTAGAAATGCATTGTGTACAATCACATTATAGATGACTTGGTTTACCACAATTAAACAACTACCTTCATCAAAATGAAGTCTCAACTCTGAACATTTATGGCCCAAATGCAAGGGCATCCACATATGTAAAAGAAACATTACTAAAGCTTAAATCACCTATCAAACCCCACACACTAATAGTGGAGACTTCAGCACCGCACTCACAAATGGACAGGTCTGCCAAACAGAAACATAAAAGAGAAATAAGGGATCTAACAGATGATATGATTCAAATGGACTTAATAGTTATCTACAGAACATTCCATCCTAACAAAAAATAATATTCTGTCTTCTCAACATGCCATGGAACCTTCTCTAAAACTGACCGCATACTAGGTCACAAAGCAAATTCCAACAGATACAAAAAAAATTGGAATAAGCTCCTGTATTTTATCAGACCACCATAGTTTAAACTTAGAATTCAATGCCAACATAAATCACAGAAAGCCTACAAACTCATGGAAACTGAATAATGCTCAACTGAATCATCAATGGGTCAAGGAAGAAATAAAGAACAAAATTAAAGTCTTCTTAGAATTCAATGAAAATGAATTTCCTACATACCCAAACTTATGGGACACTATGAAAACAGTACTAAGAGAAAAATTCATAGCACTAAATACCCACATAAAGAAGTTGGAGAAATTTCCCACTAGTAACTTAACAACACACCTGAAAGCTCTAGATTAAAAAGAAGCAAACCCTCCCAGGAGTAATA